CCGTGGCCTGTCTGACCGAGTGACTGACTGTCTGCTCTGCGCGTTCACGTTGAGAGCAGGGAAGGGAGGGGCTGCAGCCAGTGCACGTACGGGAGTGCCGCGGGGCACGTGTGGGGATGTCTGACAAAATTACAACGCGCATTTGGGGCATTGTTGTATATATTAGAAGCTTTTAATCCAGAATTGATCGATGTTACCATGAGCTACATACAGTACACTGTAAAAAAAAAAAAAAAAAAAAAGAAAAACCGAACTTTCAAAAGGGCACATTGCTGTCCAGAGGGCAAAACGGGCAGGTGCTCAAGCACTACCTAGAGTCTATGTGTGCACGTCCCTGACTATAACACATAATAATGCAGAGGTAGATCACTGAAGAAAGAATGGCATTTCAATGAGAGAGAATTTAGGTAGTTTAAAAGTTAAATGTTATTTACTTCTTTGGATTTTGTACTGCTTTCATTTCCACTACAATTAATCTTTGCCTTATAAAAACTGAAACTCATACTGTAAGACCAAGTGCATAAAAGCTACAACAACTACTCCATAAGTCAGTATATTGATTAAATGCAAAGATTCCATAACTGATACAAATTTCAAACAATTTTGTCAAATGTAGCACTCACCCTTCTCGGCGGTGGCTCCCTTGTTGAGGATCTGGATGGCCCGGCGGATGTCCAGGTTGAACAGAGCCACGGCGGCCGCCCGCTCCCACTCCCGCTCCTGCTCCAGGGATCGCAGGAATACCTCCACATCGATGTCGGGACCCCTGCTGATCCAGCCACAGAGCCTCAGGGAGAGGCAGCGCTCCTCGCTGTGGTACCGCGGGACGTCTGACTGCCGCTCTGAGCCGCTCCAGCACCTGCGACTCTCTGTCGTGCCTGGGGGAACCAGGAAGACACAGAACATTCAATGAGTACATTGTCCCAGTCGTGCAAAGTACTATTCATTTAAGATAATACATCTTAATAAAACTTACAAATACTAATAAACCAAGGTCTGATTCTCCAACATTCAACATTTTGTGACTACATTTGTAAGAGGTTCAGAGGACTTACCTGAGGTGGTCTTAACAATGTTCTTGATCCCCGAGTAGACGACGGACTGTTTGTTCCCCTGCAGCTTCAGCTCAATGTCCTCTGCACACTGCTTCATATGTGATACTTATATAGGAATTCTAACTGATATTGCAGTTGAAAAACCATAATGAATGAACAACTACTGCAACACTTTATCACAACAATCAACAGTTGAACTGTGGCTAGAAATCATTAGACCATTTTACTTTCTACCATTATAAAGAATAAGTCAAAAACCTACAGTAAGCCTTCATATATCCGACACCATGAGGATTGTCTTCTATAGTTAGTTAAGCACAACTGTTTAACATGTATTGAGCTGTGTTGCTATCAAACCCACAAGTTCCGAATCCCAGGAGTTTGTCATTGACGTCAAAAAGGATATAAAAGAGATCGTACCAAAGTGACTTGAGCTGGGGGTCGCTCCCTCCCGCCAACAAGTGGTTCTTCCACACCTGGACGGTGTCGTGCCCGTACCTGGACTGAGCCCTCTGCCTCATCTTAGTGGCGATGTCTTTCTCAATCACGCTGTCCACTCCTTCAGCTCCGTCCTCCACGCAGTCGTACAGGTGTCTGCCACACGCCCACATGAGCGAGGTGGTGGAGCTCCAGGCCAGCGAGATACGTTCGAACACGGTGAAGTCAGTCATGACCCGGTTGGCTGCAGAGACCACCACCATGCGGTTTTGAGAGGACGGGTGCCAGGCGAAGCTGCCGATCTGGCTTTCATAGGGCTGCACGCTTCGCTCGATGATGGTGGGCTCCGTCTCGTCGCCGATGGGTGTAGGAGTGTGCTGCATGTCGTACAGGCGGATGATGTTGCTGTCACGAGTCAAAGTGGCCAGTAGGCCATTACGGGTCGGACACCATGCCACCTGAAACAAGAAAGGAAAGCATGAAAAGTCAACTTGAGTGACTTTAAATTGTACTGATCTTTAATATTTTAATGAACTACTAGCAGGGTAAATCACAAGTTTTATCACAATACAATATCTGCTCAAATCAAAAGGCCTGCCATGAAGAATTGTGATTATATTCAAATCAGGAGCCGGCTATTGATATGAGACAATATAACATGAACATTCAAAACCCAAGTTACATTGTACATTTAACTTTACATTTTTCAACCAACCAAAAAAACCGAAGTGCCATGGGAGTTTCAAACTAAGTTGATGATATGTATAAATGTTTTCACTTTGCTTCATGACATTGGAACGTTAATCATTGAAATGATACATCGATCCAGATTGATAAATTGTTACATCCCTAAAAACTACATCCTGAGAATCAAATGAAATGCATAAGACATAATTCTTTAATTAATTGAACTACACCAAGTTCAAACATTTTGCTCATGTCTTCAGGATCAAACTGCATCCTACCTTAATGAGAGGCTTAGGCTGCTCAGAGAGCGTGAGCACGGGCTTCTCAAACTTCCTCAGATCCCAGATGGCAACCTGGCCCTCGTAGAAGGAGGCCACGCGGTCATGGAAGTGCGGGTCGACTGTTACCCCCTGGATGGCCTTAGTGTTGACAAATGTTTTCTGGCTCGTGTTTCTCAGGTCGAATATTGCCAGGTTCCGGTGCATGCCAGCCAACAGCAGCTTTGGGTCACGAAGCAGCCAGCAGAGGGAGAGGCAAGCATCGTTCTGACCTAACTCATACAATGGTTTGGTCACCACTGAGCTCGAGTCCAAATCCACAGATGAGAGACGAATCTTCTCAGAGGATACACTGGCCTCTGGGGAGTACTTACTGCTAATGTCCCAAATGAGGACAGAGAAGTCTGCTCTGTGCTTGTCCAACCCAGCAGCCAGTAAGTTGCTGTCCACAGGGTTCCAGGCTAAAGTGTTGCATTGACGGGCGTGCTTGGGTACAAACTCTTTCCCAACAAGCTCTTTACATGTGGAGTTGTGGCTCTGACCCAAGCTGGTGAGCACCACTCTGCCGTTAGCTTGGCCCACAGCGAGCAAACACTCAGGCTCATGTTTTGGGTACCAGGCCACACATTTCATGTACGGGGTGTCAGAATTAATGGCTAGTAAAGTAGCAGCAGTTTCTTCAGAGAGAGGGAGAGTGCCAGCCTTGGTCTCTGAGCTTCCCACAGGTCCAATACGGTACAGTCCCAGCTCAGAGTCACAGATGACATATCGATCCGGGTGGTGGGGAGACCACAGGATGTCCGGCTTGGAGCCACTCATGATTCAGAAGCAGCTAGAGGGCTCCCAAGGAAATCTGTCTTCTACAACCTGGAGATTGGAGATTGGAGATTGGAGAGATTGACAAAGAGTTTAGTACATGGATCATTCCATAACAACTTGCAAGTTCAAGTCATGGGTTTGATATTGTGATCCTAATAAATTGCCAATTTTTTACTGAATTGGGTTGAAGTTAGAATTGCTGAATTATTATCATATATGGATATCCTTGTTAGACCAAATACATAAAAATCATTATAAATATTAGAAAAGCAATACCTTCACAACTTTTTTTTTTGAGATCAGAAGTTATTTGGTCCTGTATAAAATTGTTATGTCACATATCTTGCTATATATAGCTTTAGAGCTGACACACCCACATTCAAAGATATATTTTAACTGTATATTATGCCAATAAGGATTACTTCAATTTCCTTTCTCTTTTTTTTTATGGAAAAGTGTCCTTTGTTATTTGTTGTACTTCTCCCTGGCTGATATATTACATTCAGCAGTAAGGTAGATATTTGGACTATGTTGACTTTAAAGTCAGTGTTCTATCTTTTTCATCTCATGGGCAAATAATAGTGATATTTCACACCTCGCCTTATGGATGGGTGCAGTAGACGACAGGGCACTGAGAAATAACATAGAGATGTTACAGTAACGCTGACGTGTAAGTTAACTGCTCATGTAAATCTGAATTACTGCGGTCGATTCAACAACGTTAGAAAAACCATGCTAACTAACTAGTTATCGACGTATTGATTTAAGGTAAATACGCCACTTGAAGATAACGATGTAGTTAATGTCATTCTCGCGAATGTGTTACAATAGTTAAGACCAAAGTCTAAAGTTTGTTGACATGCCAACTCAACTAAGCTAACGCTAATGCTAACGAGTGAAGTGCGAGCTAAACATGGCAGTTTAACCAGCAACGGAAAACATTTGCTAAGTCTTTGCAACATTAACAATATTGCGTTACTTACAAATACGGAGAGTGTTTAAATGAGCGGAGGATTTGCGATTTAGCATGCACATGTCTAACAGGGACACTTCTTTTGGAAACCCTCTGGATGTTGTTGTGTGTTACACCAAAACATATCCGTCTGATAGAAATGTCACATTCCCAAAGTTCCGGGTAAACGAGGTTACGCCTGCAGTTCACCACCAGAAGGCGCCGTAACCAAAGTATAAATAAATACACAGAAAGGAGAGCCTCATTCAAACCCATCTTATCATTAGAACATGTATGATAATGGATTAACATTTAGCAGATATTTAAAAAATATGTTTTCCAGAAAAGTAGTCGGAGTACATACATAACTTACAAATAGGGTTTATAGATGTAGGCCTAGTTAACATAGGATTCATGGGCTACTACTGCATCTGGCTTTAGCATGAAGTCAAATGGAAAAGGAAAATATTTTCATGTGGGACCTTTACGCACAGCATCCAAACAGTCTCCATGCGCAACATCCAAAAACACAATTAACTTTAGTGCTGAGTTACTTATTTGCACTGTAGGAGACTGTATTCTTCAATCTTTATTTCAGACTCAAGGTCCATATCACATACAAAAAGACAAGACACACATCAATAAATAAGATAAAAAGCTAAACACTAAACAGATAAAAACAAACAGATAAAAAACATAAAATCAGTCCAATCACAGTGCGCCAATGTCTCCAAATCATGGAAGAGAACCGAGTAGAACTCTTCACAGGGTTAATTAATATCGAGATAACATGATTGTCCGAGTCTTCTAGGCGACACATGAATTTGTACATTAACTTTCTTAAAAGGGCTTGACAAGTAGGTATCCCCAAGTTAACAAACAGCTGGCTGGCACTGTGCCATCTCGATACCCTCAGCAGCAACCTTAAAGCATCATTGTATGCAACTTTTAGTTTGTGTATGCTTCTAGCCTTGTAGTTACTCCACAGGTGAGCCGTGTACAATGGTGTACAGAAAGCTTTAAAAAGTGATACCTTGACATCTACAGAGCATTTGTGAAATTTCCGCATTAAAATGTTTGCCTGGGCATACAGTTTGCAGCGTTGTCTATGGATGTCTTTGTCATCTGATCATCAGAAATATAATGACCAAGGTACTTAATCTCACTGCACACAAGAAGAATGTTGCTACTGAGAATAAAATTAGGAAATACAGCCTTTTTATCCTCTTTACTTCGCACAATCATGATGCTACTCTTCTTGGCATTATACTTAAAATTAAAATCAATGCCATACTGGGAACAAGTCCTCAGAAGCTGTTGTAAGCCAGCACTGCATGGGGAGAAGATGATTAAATCATCTGCGTACATAAGGTGGTTGACAACAGTAGCACCGATGACACAGCCAGTTTTACACAAGTTCAGTTTCCTAGACAGATCATCCATGTACAGACTAAACAACAAAGGAGATCAGATCCCACCTCGCTTGACCCCATTACCAACATACAAATGTTCAGACATAGTATTGCCCCACTTCACCTGCATAGTCTGATGTGCATACCAAAAGGCTAAGATCCTTATTATGTACTTGGGTACCCCTCTCTGGCACATTTTGTCAAATAATTTGAAATGATTCAGTCTATCAAATGCCTTGGAAGCATCAATAAAACGCAGAAACATGGTGGAATTATGGCTTCTATATTTTTGCTATAATGTCTTTTAAAGCAAAAATACACATATCTGTGCCAATAGATTATATTTCTGTTGATTAAAATACAACAACATTCGGATTTGGATCTAAAAATAGACCCTTTAAGTGCTGACTTCATGATTACATCACAATGTTAGCTGGTGGAAAATGTAAGACTGAAGGCACCTCAGAATAGAAAGCTAAAGTTACCTTTGGTTACAGAGGAAGGAGTAATGCTCCAGTCAGTGTGACATTTATTTACATACTTTAGAGATGACAAACTGTGATTTGAGCTTCAAGCCGAATGCAATATCAGCGAAACTCTTAAGCTAGCCAGTGTTTAAGATGTCTCAAAGTTAGCTATTATTAATATTATGCCTCTACCAATGCTAGTGCAACAACAGAACATAGTTGTTTGTGTTACATGAAAAACTATTGGATGGTTTTCCCTTATTTCTTGCAGGCATTAATACTTTGGTTATCCTATGATTTTTGTGTTAGTGCCACCATTTTGACCTGTGTGCTTTTGACTCAAATGTTTTGCTAGCTTTTGGATGAATTGCCGAGTAGTTCAGAACACACATTCATTTTCTTAACAAGATAAATGTAATAATGTTGTTCAAACCTTTGCATCTGTTTTGCAACATTTGTTGCACATTTGAATTTGTCCAATTCCCAAGATTTTTCTGTCAGTCTAAGCTGTAGTTTGTTTTTGGAGCTAAATAGCTAATGTTGGCATGCTAACTGGCCCAACTAAGATAGTGATGATGGTCCTATAGCTTCCTAACTTTAGCACATTAGCATTATGAGCCTGTTAGCACAATGCCATTAGTATTTAGCTCAAATCACCGCTGTGCCTATCTACTCTCTCAGCGTGGATAATACCTGAATCCCAATTTGAATTCCTGTACACGTTTCCTACCTGGAGCAGAATTGAGGATACTTCAAATGTTAGGAGGTGTTTTCAGAAACTATTTGACTGCAGTGAGATGGAACTGAGTGAAGGAGACATAGGACCTGCCTGCTCTGGAAACATTTGCACTGCGTTTGGTGGCATTAAACACAAGGACTGCTTCCTGTTGACACATTGCCCATTTTATCCCTCCAAACAAATTACCTTCCCAATCTCGCATTTCATTTAAAGTACCTCCTGTGTACTTGCTGAATCTCTCTGTTTACTCTCAATCTTTGGACATAAAAGGAGAGACCTCGAAGCTGAAATGACACAAACAAAGACAGAAACTCCTTTGAGGAATTATTAGAAATTTCATTTTGCTTTTATCTCGAGCCCATCCAATCCTGTTTATTCACCAAAGACACTCCACAAAAGGAGATGTGCTAGTATTTGTGAGGACTGCTATTGATGTGGTTGGGCGACTGATCCGTTTAGTCCCAGCTGAAAAGAATGTAGAGCTTTGTGTCTGCAGGTCTTTCAGTGAATGGACACATATTCCCTTTATGTTATCAGATGTAATAGTTGCTATTGCTTGTTACTTTGGGAAACCAAAGCCACTGGGACAATCGATGCTTATAATTTAGATCATTTTCTTCACAATCTATGTCAGATGGGGTAGATGTCTAAACATAAAATCATTGAGCGGTGTTGAAGGATAATAATAACAATTTGTTCTGTTTTGGTTATGCCTTTTTTAATAAACAAAAATATTTAGCATTGCTATGATTATGACTCTTACAATGGTTCGGTTGGTTATCCTTTAACTATGTTTTGAAAGATGTCTTCTTTTCCCATACATTCTGGAGGTTTGAAGTGATAACTGAGTATAGTATACCTATCTTGTAGTGTGTTGTCCTCTGTATTAACTCAGTTGTTAAGTGTTAAGCTCCTTCTTGACGGTCGGCACTGAAATTGTATTTCCAGTTTAAAGGTTGTTGTGTGCGCAGCCATGTGAGAGGTGTGTTGTTCCCTCCAAACTTCCACAGTACAGCAGCTACCCCTGAGTGCTGAGCTCAGTTAGTGCGAGAAAAGCTGCCTCTGTAAATGTGGTATTGATTGGTGGAAAAGGTAGACGTGCGAGTCCGTGCTTGGACCCACGCCATGCTCTGATAAGCGCTAACAGGATTGCAGGGTGGAATCTGTGAGCTGTGACGGGACAACAGGCTCAGAGGAGGAAGAGGAGGAGAGCAAGAGTATTAAATGGGACTTTGATTATGGAGGTGAACGCACACAGTAAAGACCAGATGTGGAAGAAGTATTCAGGTCATTACTTAGCAATATCAGCTAAATGTACTTTTTCATTCTCTCTAAACTACTTTTGTTTAGAGGTCAACCAAAAGTTTTTTCGATTTTCCCAAAAATGTATAGAAAAGCTGCTCATTTTGATCCCCCAGGGCACACACGTACCAATCAACAGTCCAAAAACGTAAACATTACATTTTTGCCCTCATAATAAAGGAAAGCTTCAAACATTATAGGTGAACAAGGCTAAAAACCCTGAATGTTGGGGCAAATTCTCCTAACAAATGACTTTCAAATGTACTTGATTGTCAAAATTATTGTTGATTTGTTTTCACAATGAAATTAAAACACTGAAAATTAGGAGTAATAACTTTAATATCTTTCTCGTGAAAACTCGGTGTTAGTCGATGTAGAGTTCAATTCAAATACCTTATATGTTGATATATACCTGTGCATCTTATATAAGACACATACTATTTCTTCACCTGCTAAACACTTGGTAACTGTAGTGAAAGGAACAATATTTGAATGTCTTGATAATGACATATAGTGGATTTAAAGTAGCATGTTATGAACCTCAAAGCTTATCCTTAAATGCAGGTCTTGACTAAATGTGTTCGCGGCTGGTAAAGACAACGTGTTCCCTCTCATGTTGAAAGCGGGTTGCAACACATACAACCAGATTGTGTCAAAATATGCAGAGAAATGCGTGTTGGGCTCAGCACGCTCATTCCTGCGTCTTCAAAGGAGCGATGGTTTGACACAGACGTCTTGTAGTTACATAACCTCCATATTCCTCTCTCTATTTCTGCCTTCGTCTCTCCCACCTCCACGCTCTTCTTCCATATCCATGTTCCTCCCCCCCTCACTCCTTTCCTCCTGTCTCTTCCTCCTTTTGTTCTAATAGACGAATAGAAATAGATCATGCTCTTTGTAGAACCTCACTGTTTGCTTTTATATCCCAAGTTGTTTTGTTTTTTCTGTCCTGCCAAATATTTGTTGGCTGGTAAAAAAAAAAAGTAAACCAAGCATGCCCAGTGTTTCCTCTCTGTAGTCTTTACTTTTTCAGCCTGTTTCCACCTCAGGTATATATCAGGTAGTGAGAATCCCCCTGATAAGTTAAATAAAAACTGACAAAACCATAACCGTGTTTTTCATCACTATTTCAGTATGTTCCATCAGCGCGTGCTTCCCAGAAAACACCGTATACAGTATATGAATGAACGTAGACACATAGTGACTTTGATGAAACTGAAGGATTTTAATTGTTTTACAATTCTTTCTCTTTCTTCCGTTTCCCAGCAGACTCTGCTCCTGTGAAAATAGAGAGCACTAAACCAGACATGTAATTACATTTTGATTATGTGAAGAGCTTCACAGGGAAAAGGTTATTCTCGTCTCTCACAGACTAACATTACACTATCATGCTCTCTCCAGGGGGAATATGGTGGGGCTTGTGTCTTACTCATTTTTCTTTCTTACGTCTGTGGTTAAAGAAGCTGTCCTGTATGTGTGTGAAGTGGCTAATCCTGGGTTGGAAACCTTCTGAAGCCACATGGTGATGGTGTCCGACACATTATCAAAAAGCACACACAGAAATACTGTTTAATTCCGCTTGGAAATTATGATTTATTTAACAATAAACTCGAGTTGACTGTCCAGAATAAACTAAAATATCCAAAATCCAAATATCGCTAATGTGATCAGGCGATCGTCAAAATTAAGGTGACAAACATAATGCGCTAATTACTTGCCACATGATATGATTTACTATGGAATAATGTGTCCAATAATGTGGTCGTAAAACTGTAGGCCTTTCGACATCCAACTCAAAAAATCACAAGTGTCTTTGTTCATTTTACAAATAGTGTATGTATCAAAACACAAGTATACTAGATCACATAAGTATCTTAACAGTTTGTAAAATAATATTTCATAAACAACGCTATAACTCAAATATATCTGTCAGATATTTCAGTCATAATATCAAATGGCTGTTAATGGCTCCAATAGTGTGTGTTTTTGTTTTCTCCTATATCCCATCCCTTGAGTCCATGTCGAAGCTACGTTGCAGTAGTTCCTCTATCCTGAGAAACGTCATCTCTTCTGTTCACTCACTTATCCTTTCAGCCGGATCAGTAGGAGATAGATGTTGTGATTTTTATGGGATGCAGGACGTTTTTTCAGGGGACACTGATAGTGAGTCCACACTTTTCACGGTGTGTGCAGTCCTACAGGTGAGTGATTACAGAGGGGAGACGCTGCGCCCTCCTTCACCTTGAGACTCCTGCAGGAGGGGGGGGGGGAGCTGTCTGCAACATGATTGATGGGTATATTTTGAGAACATCCCCAGCAGAGCATGCCTGAGGCTTGGAGATTGGAAGGAGGATTCAAATGAGTGTGTGGCAGGTGTGTGTGACGTGTGAATGCTGAATGCACTGTCAGTGTGCGATGTGTATATCTGCTGCAATGTATTTTGTAGAGTCCCTCTCCTGGCATTGATTAAACCCCTAAAAACGCCCTGAAGTTCCCTTCAAGCCCTAAACACAGCTTAGAATAACTCAAGACCCTTGTCTCACTTACAGCCAAAATCCTGTAGCTTATTAGTCTGTCCAACAACAACCATTGTTGTGCAAAAGTTTGAAACACTACCCCAATGAACCGGGTGACATTTTACTATGNGTTGAGTTGTTCCAGTGCAGTTTTCAGAATGAATCTTTGTCTGTTATAATCCGGGCAGCTAAAAAATACATGATGTATTGTCTCTGGTTGTTGGCAACCATCACAATTGCCATTTGGATGTTTTCCAATCAGATGCAGTGATGAGTTTAGTCCAGAGTGTCCCAATTTTATCCTGCTGTTGATGCTCTGCTCTCTTTTACTACTCCCCCAACGTGCTTCCTGTTCCTACTTCCCTTTGTATCTGATATAAATGTCTTCCTTTGGTGTTACTGTCCCATAGTTTTTGCCATTGTTGCTTGATAACCACTTTTGTAAAAGATTTGACTTCTGCTCTACTGATGGGTACCATAATATCAATCTGGTTTGCTTTCAAACCACATTTTGCCAGTTGATCCACTACTTAATTCCCTCTAATACCCACATGCGCTGGAACCCACACAAATTGCACAACAATTCCCAGATGAACTAACCTAAACATGATTTGTAAAATTTCATGTAAAATATCCTGACGACATTCTGAAGAGAAGTTGTTTATACTCTCCAGAGCTGCACTGGAGTCAGAGCAAATGACCACTCGCATTGGCTGTATTTCCTCTACCCACTGAAGTGCTAGAGAGATAACCATCATCTCTACTGTATATACTGCAATGTGATCACTTGTACGCTTTCCCACTTTGACTTTTAGCTCAGGAACATAAAATGCACAACTAGTTAGACCATTTTCTGGATTTTTGGATCCATCAGTAAATATTTTTATAAAGTGCCCATATTGTTCATGTAGAACAGTGTTCACATAAGCCTGTACATTGAATTTGTTTTTCATTGAATGTACCCGTTTCANTATTTACGGTCATACTTACTCTCAGATTGACTCCAATCCAAAATCACAAGGACTCAATCTTATCCGTATTCACACCCCTTTCCCCGCCACATGTTACCACATACGTGTATATACACAGATAACTCATAAATATGATACTCTACTCTACACGACCATACGTCAGACAATTTTTGGATCCATAAATATTTGTTATAAACTGCCCATATTGTTCATGTAGAACAGTGTTCACATAAGCCTGTACATTGAATTTGTTTTTCATTGAAGGTACCCGTTTCAATAGTGATAAATCTACTATAGGTTGAGGTAGCAACCATGGTGGAACAGCTGATAACAACACCGTCGGACTAATATTCCATTCTTTAACTTTGAATTCCTTACATATTTCCGAAACACAAAACAAAAACTTTCTTTTTTTATTTTGTTACTTTCCCAACTTGTTTGTACAGTTTGTTTAGTAGGGTGAGTATCTTTATGGCCCTGTAGATTTGCCCAGTAATTAACAATTAACTGCTTTCTCCTCAAAGAAATAGGTACTTCTCCGACCTCTACCTGAAGTGCCGACACTGGTGTAGATCTTACTGCCCCACAGCATATCCTTAGTGCTTGTGCCTGGACTCTATCTAATTTTTGAAGAGAAGAATATGCAGCTGACCCATACACTATTAGTCCGTATTCTATGGCTGATCTTATTAAGGCTGTGTATACGTTCCTCAAAGCAGCTTTATCAGCCCCCCACTTAGTGCCTGCCAAGCACCTCATAACATTTAAAACCCTTTTACATTTATCTACTACTTTATCAATGTGAGTACTCCATGTGACTCTCTCGTCCAACCATATTCCCAGAAATTTAAATGTCTTCACTTTCTTTAGATCTTGTCCATAAAGTTTTAACCTAACCTCCTCACCTATCCTTTTCCTCGTAAAAAATAAAGTTTCAGTTTTTTCCACCGACAATCTAAACCCCCATGTCAGAGACCAGCTTTCAATTTCCCTAATGGCTTCCTGAATCTTAGCTACAATATATTTTACATTTCTGCCCCTTTTCCAAATAGCTCCATCATCTGCAAAAAGTGACTTACCAATATCAGATCCTATTTGTGTATATATATCATTGATCATGATAGAAAATAAAAGAGGACTGATGACACTCCCCTGCGGGGTTCCATTTTCAACTTCATGCCTTCGAGAATATGACTTGCCAACTCGGACTCTGATGGCACGGCCAAACAAAAAATCCATAATCCAATTATATACATTACCTCCCAGACCCATAATGTCCAGTTTTATTAATAATCCTTCCTTCCACATCATATCGTAAGCTTTTTCCACATCAAAGAATACAGCTACAACACACTCCTTGTTCGCTTGGGCTTTCCTGACTGACTCCAGGCACAGCAGGGGATCTAAAGTACTCCGCCCTTTTCTAAACCCACTCTGATAAGGAGTCATTAGTTCATTTTTCTCAATGTAGTATGTTAGCCTTTCTGTTATCATTCTTTCCATAACTTTACACAAGTGTGATGTCAGAGCTATAGGTCTATAACTGCCTGGACTGGTTGGAGAGCCCTCTTCTCCTCCAGCTTCTCCTTTTTAAGTCCCCAGCTGAATGTAATTAGGACACCTGGGTGAGGCGGAGCCAGGGGCGGACCAGGTGTGTCTGCGCAGCAGGGAGACAGAGAGACAAACAGGAGGGGAGCACGTAACAGCAACATAAACAGTCCCACATCTAGTGTTCGAAAAGGAGTGAGAAGAAGTATAATTTATTTAATCTCACCCCCTTGTCCCTAAATTATTTATTTATAATCTATAATCTATAAATAATTATAAATAATTATCATTATTATTAATTATTATTATTATTATTGAAGACCAGATGGTATAACTTCATAGTAATAAAAACCGTAGCAGCAACCCTAGCATAGCGACAGCGGGCTTAGCCGTATTAACAACTTAGTTTAGCCATAGCGTTGGCATAGCGTTGTCCCAGCGACTTAGCATAGCATAGCGTAGCGGACGCACAAAGTTTACGACTAGCAATACGAATAGCATAGCACCGGCTTGCGCCATAGCTCTACGGCGTAGCGTAGCCCGGAGTCACTACCTCTACGGTGTAGGGATCTACGAATAAACCTACCACATACACAATATCACGTTATACACCACACTAACGCGGTAATACACATATAATATGATATATATAAATAGTTGTTAT